GCCACTCACACAACCTAGACTTAGACTTAGACCTCACTTTCACTCTGTCTTCATCGGTCTCGGGGGCCTTAGAAGCCTGCCTCAGCAGCTGCTTCCTCGGTTACGCCATCGTCCTTCGTGTCCTCGGTTGGCGCCAACCGTCTGCCTTCCCAGTGAGTGCGCGATGAACCCCTCCCCGTAGGATCCCGGCTGCCCTGTGATTCTTCTAGATTCTAGATGCTGCGACAATAATCGAAGTCAGCAAGCTGCTCGGCCCAGGTTTGGGGAGCAGGCAAAGCACGAGCCTCGGGTCCTTCGATGTCGGCTTGACTTCCTATCACTCAGACGCAGAAGTCCCAAAGTGCTGGATTGCATGTTCAGTTGTCAGTTGCCAATAGGGAACGTGAGCTAGGTTGAATTGGACCGTCCGTCATGAGACAGGTTAGTTAAGTTCAATCTTCCGATGAACGAGATACCGCGGCAATGACCGAAGCCGGCAACAAACTGCTCGCCCCAGGTCTTCGGGAGTCCAGTGCGGTGGGTTCGAATCTCAGGTCCTTCGATGTCGGCTTTGTTTCCTATCGTTCAGGCGCAGAAGTCCCAAAGTGTTTATTGAATGTTCAGTTGCCAACAGGGAACGTGAGCTGGGATGAAGTTGACCGTCCTGAGACAGGTTAATTGACGCTGCGGCAATAATCGAAGTCGGTGGTAACAATACTCAGTCCAGGTCTTCAGAAGTCTGGCAGTGGAGTGGAGAAGCCCGAGCCTCGGATTCCTTCGGTGTCGGTTTTGACTTTCTATCATTCAGATGCACAGGTCCCAAAGTGTTGGATTGAATGTTCAGTCGCCAATAGGGAACGTGAGCTGGGTTGAATTGGACTGTCGAGAGACAGGTTAGTCTTCAGGAGTCCCGAGACCCGCCCCCCCTCGGGGGAGGGGGCAGGGGGGGAGGGGGGGGAGGGGTTGAATGGGTTGTTCATTCCATCTTATCCCAGGCCCTTGCAATGATTGCAGATCAGCCCGGCTCTGAGTCTTCGGCATCCAAACGGCCAGATGAGATGCAAGACATTTGTGTGAAGTGTGACATGGCCGTTGCAGCAGTTCCAGAAGTTTTCGTGGACAAAAGGCGAAGACTCTGCTACCAGATGCGGGTTCTTTGCAGGCACCGTGGGTTTTGCTGCTATTTGCAACCTATGCATGGTGCCAGAGAGACTAATCATGATGACAGCACAACTCTTTTTTGATGTGCCATTGAACAATCTTGTTGGCTCACTTGGCAACCCTTGCCGCTAGGATCTACGGGCGTAGAACTGCCTGAGTGCTGAAACCTAAAGATCAATCCTGTCCAGATTCAGTGCGATCATTAGAAAGCCGTGTCATGTCTTCCACTCCTTGTCAAGCTGTGGCTTCATGTCACAACACCTCTGTGGCAGGTCTGTGGGAGCCGCCGACGTCTGATGCTGTGAGTCTGCCGTGTTCCAATACGAATCTCCAGCTTCAATAGTTACAATAGTTTAGGTCTCAATAGGTTGAATAGTAGTTTCCGTAGTCGTACGTTCAATCGGTCAATAGGTCCCAGTTCAAGAGGTCCAACCAATAGATGTTCAAATCGAAAGTGAATGCCTGGCCTAGCTGGCCTAGCTCATCCCATGATCCCATGACAACACAAGGCTCTGTGTAGTAATGCACGTGGACCTATCTGGAATGCGGTAGCCGGTAGCTGCCAGTGGATTGAGCTTTGAGTTTTCTACCCCCGTGGCCCTTATAGTGATGCAAGTAGCGGCTATTGAGCGGCTATTGCAGCCTTGCCACTGGCTGCCTGGCTGGGCCAGTAACCAGTAGATTCAGTAGATCGAAATGGCTGGGCTAGGGTATTGGCTGGGCTTGCTGGGTTCAGCCACTGAAGCTTCAGCAGTATTTAGCCAATTACTGTGGATCCCTGGCCATATGTCCACATGTCGAATCACTTTCGGGAGCCACGGGCACGAGTGTTACAAAGAGCCATGTGACACATCGCGTTGTTTCAATGGGCAGCCCTATGGTGCCATCAGAAATTCGGCTGCCTGAAGCCGCTTTTGTGCGCTACCGCTACGACTGACCTGTTGGGGCCTTTCAAGGGGGGTGCCTGGTTCTGTGCTCCATTTCCAAATTGTCTCTGTCCGCTCTCAGGCCTCAAATTGTAATCTCAAGACTCGTGACTCTTGCCTTGAACCCAATCCCCAAGCACTCCCCCATGGACTTGAGATACCAACCAAAGGATTCATTGTTTCGGAAGCCGCTGGGCCTGGCCTATTCTGCACTATACTTACACTACAATACTATTGCTACACTATATCACTATACTACACTGTCACAATACTACACTATACTATGGTATACTACATTACTATACTGTACTATACTATACCACAAGTGAAAAGGAACATGACTGCTGCCATCGAGCTCTTTTTGGGCTTCATGTCAACATGGACAGATATGTCTGGGCCTCTCTGTCTATGTCCATGTGGATCATGCATCTCATGCCGAGCCTGTATCTGTCACTGAAGCCCTGGCTGCTAGTGCTAGTGGCTGCTAGCTGCTAGCACATGTTCGAGCCAAGTGATGTCGGACAGGTAGGTTATTTTGAGAGATTGTCGCCCAGCACTCGTGAACAATTCTCGCCGCCATGGGCTGGGGGCCTGTGGCAGATGAAGTGGCTTTGTCCCAAGCATCTTCAGATGACATGGTTGTTCATCTGACTGACGAGAGAAGTGTTGTGACTTCAGAAGAGGAAGAGAATGCAGGGCCACCGACTGTTTGGTGGGCCAAGATGTTGTCAAAGCATGCCAAGAATGTTTCAGTGCACTTGCCAGAGCAAGCACCTCAGCCAAACGCCCAGAGACCAGTGCAGTGCGTGTCTGCATGTACCGGCTGCTTCGCAGAGGGTGCTGTCTTCAAGGAGAGGTTGCTGAGTTTGATTTTGTTGGCCACTATCAGACACTATCATTATCTATTATCTGCCTCCCTCTCTCCCTCAATCACTCACTGGCTCTCTCTCTTTCTCTCTCTCTCTTTTCTTCTCTCTCTCTCTCTCTCTCTCTCTCTCTCTCTCTCTCTCTCTCTCTCTCTCTCTCTCTCCACTCTTTAATGCTTCTTCTCTCTCCCTCTCCCTCTCAAACTCACGTTCCCTCTGACTCTATCGCATCCCTTTCCCTGCTTCTCCCTCCCTTTCGGATTCCGGCAAGGTAGCAGGAACAGACCATCATCAGAAAAGTGTGTTCAGCGGCACAGCCGTGACCAGGATTAAGTACGTTCACTAGGCCCACTAGGTCACTAGGTCAAACTCCTTGTCAGAATGGCGCTGGTATGTTATGTAACTAACCATTATAATAACCCTAATAACAGGGTGCTCAGATTCTCAAAATGCAGGGGCTTGTCAGGGCTTGTCAAGAAGCCGTTTGACTAGGTCGCTAAGTCACTAGGTAGTCCAGGCATGCGTGGTTCTTTCAGTTTGTGTTTGTCATGGTGCCACAGGAGCTGCAGATTCCATTTCATTGCTGGGGAATCTCCGAAAAGCAGCTGCCTTACCAGGAGTTCTGCAAGCTCAACTATCCAGGCTGCATCAGTCACATCCATTCAACCATGTGTGGCCAGTGTGCTGGAGAGAGCTGTTTAGAACATCCAGACAGCGATGGATGCAACATTCCCGATTCGGCTGACTTTGCTTGCTTCGGCACAACGTGTGATCCATTCTCAAAGTTTCGCCACAAGAGGTTTCATGATGGCAGTGTGAAACAGCATCCAGATTATGCGACGACCTTCGAGGATGCATTGCAGTTCCTGCTCAGGCTGGAGCCGTGCATATGCATAATGGAACAGGTTGCTGGCTTTGACATGCCATACAGCACCCGAGACGAGACCACTCCGAAACAGAGGCCGGCTGTGTTCCTGGTGTTGCTGCAGGATTTCTGTTTACCATGTTAGTTATGCTCCTGCTCTGTATTTGTCTGGTAGGGCCCTGGTAGGGAGTGTTGTGATGACATTTTGCGCTTTGCATCATGTTCAACTTGTGGTAGCCTCTTGAGCCTCTTGGTAGCTGCTAGCTGGTAGCTGCTGGCTGGTGCTTTTGGAGCGTAGAGATTGAGCCAGCTAAATCTGGTCTGGTGATCATGCGTTGAGGCCCAGGCTATACTCAGTCGGATTTGTCTGGGCTATGGGTTAGTGGGTAGCTTGGCTAGGGACAGTGTATGTGTATCGTGTGCTGCTACGGCCGCTAGGGAGCTGTTGGTTTCGGTTGTTTTGGTTACACGAATATTGAGGCTCAATATCTGACTCAATATTCAATCTTCAATATCCATATCATGTAAGGCCTGGGACCTGTGGGCTTTTGGGGCCAAAAGCATCAGCTCGTGAATGTTCGTTGCCGCCAGGTTCTTGGAGCTTGTCCGCTCCTTGCCATTCAAGCATGGTGGTTACTACATCCTCTGCTTCTCCCTGAACTCCAACATGTGGGTGAAGATGAACCGAGACAGGCAGGGCCCGGTCTAGAGTCTCGAGTCTAGTCTAGTCACCAGTCACCAGTCTAGTGCAGGATAGCAAGAACGGGTTGCAGGGTCTAGAGTGCACAGCCTGCGTTTCCCATGTGTTTCGTGTCGTTGTGGTCAGGAACTCAGTGAATATCAACCGTGTTCGATTCTTGGGGTGATTTGGAATGTAGTAGTAGTGACGTGACAGTGCAGAGGCACAGTGGCTAGTGAAGCTCTCCAGAGCAATTTTGTCTGTGGTGAAACAGCTGACTGCAAGAAGGTCAATGGACATAGGTGGGCCAGTGCCTGTGATGTTGTAGTGTATTCAATTGTATTCATTCATTTGTGACAGTGGTGCTGAAGTCTTGACGTTTCCAATCAGAGCAGCCACGCAAACGAAAGGCAAAGCCATTGCCATGGATTCCATAGATTCCATGGATTCTACATAGACTCATTGTCAATTGCAATAGACTGCCGTAGACTGTAAAGTTTGGGATTTCAGGAAACTGTGTAGGCATGGCCGGTTGGTTGCGGCTGGCAGAGCAGCAGATCAGTTCTTCGCCGCCAGACAGTGTCGAGCCCAAACCAAAGCGAAAGCCGGGTCGGCCACGTGGAACATTTGGTGGCTCTGAGCTGCGGGCTTCTCTCAAAGCTGAAAGCTCAGAGGCAGTGCAGCAGGCCATGGACAGACAACGATTCACATCTGATTCCTCACAACATCCTGCTGTTCAAGCTACGACAGTGATGTCTACAGGCCAGCAGGGTGTGGTGGCCACGGGTGCACGTGCAAGCCCAGTGCAAGAGATGATCTTGCAGCATGCGGTTGCACAAGCAAAGCGATGTAGGCAAGAGGGTGCTCCAAATCCAGCGACGACTCTTCTCTTTGAAGGGAGGAGGAACATAGTCTCACAGAGCGTGGCGTCCAACATGTTGGATGTCACCAGGGAAGATGCACGTCGAGTGGCTGCAATTGTCGTTGAAGGTGGTGCCCGGCTGTGGCACGGTTTTCTTGATCACATATCTGCCCTGGTCAAAGGGCCACATTGGAAGGGTGTTCTGTTTGGTGTCAGAAGGCGCTATGATGAGACTCCGTTGCCTCTTCGTGTTCAAGAGCCAACACCACAGCCTTCCCGAATCACTACAGTGACTACAGGCAATGCAGCTGCTGTGTTGGATGCTGCCAAGGATTCTGCCAAGGGCACTACAGGCCGCAAGAAACGAGTGACAAAAATCATGCAGTCTGAGCTCAACATCTTTGCACTTTTGGAGCGTCAAGAGCAGGAAGTGGAACCAGAGTCCAGGAGCAAGCCTGGCAAGTTCTTGCACATCTGTGGCAAGTTTCCATGCTGGTTGCAATGCATGCAAAGCACGACAGCTCAGCAGATTTCTCAGTCCCAGAGGAATTTGCTTTCCAGCATCTCCAACCTGAACGATGTTAGCAAATTGTTCATGACGAGGCATGCCTGTGTCACCACTGACCGTTATGCGGCCAATCTTGTCGCAGAACAGGACATCCAATCCAGGTCTGGACAGTGGTGTCTGACACATATGCTCTGTCACGTTCACCAGCTGTCATCCTCAGAGAAAAGCCTCGGTGACCTTATTGCCGGTCACGTCGGCGGCATTGTCAGCTTGGGGCTGTCTACACGCTTTGCGGGTGTACTTCCAGAGTTGCAACAGGCATTGTATTCCTTGTTTGAAGATGAGCTGGAGATCATTGTGGGCCAAGGACCAGCCCGAGAACATCAAGATGCAATTCTTGACTTGTTCTTGCCAGTTGATGAGAAGAAAGTAACAGAGGTGGCGGATCGGATGAAGAGCAGGGGGCCAACCACTGCCTTGGCTCAGCAAAGGCGCCGGTGTGTCATTCGGCATTACCTAAACGGAGCTATTGATCAGGAGAAGCTTGTACACTTTACACCTGTGCTCTTGGATCGTGAGCAGCTGCTGGCTGAGATCCGTACAGAACTGATTCCAGCCCTTTTACCCATGCCTTGCCCGATTATCAACCGCTCGCGCTGGTTTGGCTGTGAGCAAGCCTTTGGTTGGGTGGGCATTCTATTGTCCCACCACAACCTGCTCCCTCGATTGATACAGCGATGGAGGGGCATCTCCACTGCGGCCGCCTCTGGCATGGCACAAATGGCAAGACCTGCCTCTGTGTCAACAGGTCCTTCACTTGGGCCAAAGTTTGGCAACTGGGGTGATCTGGCAAACAGGGCTGCTCAGACACAGACAGCCCAAGACACAACTGCAGGAGTCCACCCAGAGAGATTCCCGGCCAGACAAGGACAAAACCCTGCTGAAGACATGGGGTACGCAGAGGGCACAAGTCTTGAGCCCGGGGACAGCTCCTTCGTTGCAGAAATTCTGCGGGATCCGGCCACCGGAGATATAAATTGGCAAGAGCAGAATAAAGCTACGGTGGCAAAAGCTGTGGCATGGTGTCAGTCACAGCCAGCAAATGCCGTCATAGCGATGAGCATCGCATGGGGACCAATCTTGTGCCTGATGCACACTGTGCTCAAGCTTGGAAGTGAATCCTGGGAGCATGAGCAAGAAGCCAAAGTGGCAGCTGGGCAAGCACGAAGCTTCAGAGTGCTCGAGTTGTTTCAAGGTCGAGCCATGGACACATTTTTGAAACATATGAACGACTTGATGCACACATCTTCTGCTGCGATCCAGGCAAGCGGCCGAACTTTGTCTGTCAGATGTCTGCTCTTCCGATTGTTAAGTCGTTGTGGAGCTACAGTGCATCAAGTCTTTGCTCTTCAACACAAAAGAGCTCCTTATGTCTTGTTTGGAGCACTGAATGGCAACCTTGGTCCTCTGCGTGGCTTGCCAGAGTGCCTTCATGATGAATTGACCACAGTGGTGTGCGGCAGGTTTCCCAAGGAGGGCACAGATCTGCTTGAGCCAGAGGCTCAGGCAATCCTGGCATGCTTGGCACAAAATCTGGAATCCGACATAGTCGGTATCGAGACGCGGCATGCGTCAGTTCGCCGATGCTGCTATGCTAGATCAGTCCAAGTCTGGACAATTGATTTCCGAGATCTTGGTGCGGAGTGGATCACAAGGCAACAAGTGATCTTGCGCGAACCCCTGACCACAGCTGCCACCAAGCAGAGAAAGCCCCGTGAGAAGGCAAAAGCCAAGAAGAGCCGTGGTGGATCCTGGCGTGCATACCAGCATCTCTTTCTCCGAAACGAGCCAATGGATCCTGCGCGGGCTTCTTAGGAATACCATGCATTGAAACGGCGTGGTGGCCCAGACTGGGACCAATGCAAGAATGTCGGCCTCTTGATGACCATGGCTGGAAGAGCTGGCAAGAAATCTTTCAAGAGGTGGATCCCATCACGAGGCCGACGAGTGGTGGAAAGCTCAGGTGGCCTTCGATGCTTGAAGGATGCCTTGGTGGAGATTTCAGCTGGCAGAAAACGATCCGTTGAACTGGCAGCAGCAGCTGAAGAACAAACGGAACAACTACTGGACAAAGTTTCAAAAGATACTGCAGATCAGCTGGGACAGGAGTTCACGGAGCCCCAGCTGTCCCAGGATGCCCTTCTTGGCTCTGTTTCGAATGGAAATCAGACCCTGTTCCCTGCAAATGCTGGGGCGTCGAATGGTGCTTTCCAGTGTTTGCCGGCCTCCATGAGTTCTCCGAGTCTTCTGAAATTTCTGGTGCCAGCCGATGTTCTTGCTCAGGAGCCTTATCTTTCGTCCTGCTCGGGCTGGGGGGTCTGGCAGGTGTCCCATGATTATCATTATCTCATTATGTGAGTTTTCATTAGGATATGTCTCATAGGTCATAGGTTTGATACTAGGTATTTTACCATTATCCTTGCTTCGAGTATTGTGGTTGATTTTCCTTCACATTCCTTGGGATTTCCTCAGGAGGTTTGCAAGCCGACCGGACACGAAGCCAGCGGATTCGGACGTGGCTTGTCCACAGCTTTGAAGGACACGTGGGCAGAGAAACACTGCTTGCAGCCGCCCCCAGAGCAACAGATCGACATGACCGGGAGTTTCACGACTTCCCGGTGCTGTTCCTTGGGGTTCTGCTTCTGCTGTGGCACTGGCCAACAAAGCCATTTCTTCCATTGCAAACTTTCGGCCTTGCTTCGCCCGTATCTGTTCAGACAGAGAGCCAAGAAGCACCAGCAACATGCAACAAAAAAAGAGCACACCAAGGCCCGCAAGGCCATGATGAAGGGCTTCTTGATTCTTCGGCTGGAAGTCGGCAGTGAGCCAGGGCATGAAGGTATTGAGAAGTATTTTCTGCCAGTGGCTGATGAGCCACATGAAGCCACCATGCCAGTTCTGTCAGGATTGCCTGAGCAGATGCATTCTTGGGCAATGTGTGCAAGTTCAGACACTGGTTCAGGAGAATCAATGGCCTCGGCACATCAACCCGTGTTCTCACACATCGGCTATGTGAACTACCGATCCATGCATTTCAGTGTGTTGCCTTTGCAAGCAGTGTCCCAGACAGATGACTCGGCATCAGATTCGGCTTCTCAGTTTCTGTCTGTCTTGTCACCTGTAGCCTTTTACCGTTGCTTCGAGTACTTCGAGAAAGAGCTTGATTTCAGATTACCATATGTCGCCTCATTTTACATCATGCGCTCTGACGATGAAACTGAGTTGCTTCCCAGTGAAATGATTCCTGGCCGCATGGAGGCCGTGCCATATTCTGAAATCCCGACACTTCAGGTCTGGAAGGGGCAACATGCAGAGGAGCGGGATCGAGCACGGATCCGGAGTGAAAAGGAGAAGAAACGAAAACCTCCTTCAGGTTCCCATCCTGGTGGTGGCATCCGCAAGTTTGCCAGGAAGACCAAGGATCCCATCTCAGAAGCGGCTGTCGACGCAGACCCGGCTCCAGGTCCTGCGAGTGGTGATGCAGGGCAGGATGATGAAAACGTATATGTGGGCATGGATGATGGTTTCAGCAATGGCAGCAGTGATGCAGATGAGAACAGATCCGAACAGGACTTGATTGAGGCTTTGGAACAAGAATTGGAGGAACAGCCAGAGAATCCACCAGAAGCAGGGATTTGGGGCCGCGCAAGGAAAGACTTGTTTTCCAGGCCAGCAGAGGGAGCAGCCTCCTCCAGTTCAGCTCCCAATGCAGAACCAGCTATGGCATCGGCAGCTGCGGGTCCAGACGCTGCCGGTGAGAGTGGTTCTCGCCGAACAGGCCCTCGTGAGGTGGCTCCAGACAAGATTGTGATCCCCGACTTTGGAGAGATGCACTTTTATGAAAAGAACCAGACGATCCAATGTTTCTGCCGTGTACATGCTGCTGCTGACTGCCGCAAAAGCCGGACAGTCAAAGGGTCAGAGACACTCTCGAGAGTTGGTCAAGGCAGGCCGATAGGCCTTTTAGCGGCCTGGCTGTATGATCATGAAAACCATGATTGCGTCTCAGAGCCAAAACGTTCGAGGAACTTTGTCCACCCTTTCAAAGAAAGGCTGGCCGCACGCAAGAAGTTTGATCGGCTTCCTGGGGCCAGTGCTTTTGCTCTGCATGAGAGAGCACAGGCACCAGACGAGACAAGCCCAGAGCCACTGACAATCCCGTAGCCACACTCGCCGAGCCCTGGCCAATCAATGGCACCCTGATCTCAGTGCTAGGCTGCACCATGAACCTGCCTCAGCTGTGTCATTGCTGCTCGATCGGCCAGGGCCATGCAGCTGTGCCTCCTGTGAGTGTTTTCACATTGCCTGGCTTAGCCAGCTCGAGTGTGATTGCCATGAGAAGGAATGAATAAATCAATTGTCCTGTGCTTGGGTGGCGTTCGTACCCCTGCCGGCTTAAGAGTGACTCCAAGCTGCAATCCACATCATGACATATAGTGCCACTCTGTGTTCTGACAGGATCTACTTGGTCATGTTCCGCAAGGACAAGTTCAAGCCAGAGAATGTTGTTGATTTCGAAGCTACTGTGCAGGACAGACTTTCACATCCAGTTGCATGTTCTTACATGTCTTACATGAGTTAGGGCCGTTAGGGTTAGAGCCAGAGTCTATTACAGTCTAACAGTGAGGCTGTAGACACGTGAGAGCCACTCGAGCAGTCAGCCGCTAGCCGATGTTACAGTCTCTCAGTGGGGACCTTGTGTTGTCTGACAGGCTTTCAACTTTTTGTCGTGGTTGGGTGGATAGTGCCTATAGGCAAGATTTAAAGGAAATGGCGCACATTATGGGGTCATGCTACAAGATCGATTTGGCATCGGCGGTCAATGTTCTGCTCAGGCTTGGCTGTGGCTACAGCTACAGATTGGCTGTCTCTTCCTACATGTCATTGTTAACCATCGTTTAGATATTGGTTTGCATACTCCACTCACAGGGCCTTGACCCAAACTCCCAGACCGCATGTTGATCAAAAGAGTCCATTGTGAGAGGCTGCATGCGCGCCACTTGAGTTCAGTCACACTGACCATGATAGGAGCTTCTCGGTCTGCAGAAAGCGGAGCAGCCCCTGGAATTGGAGAACTTCCTGCTGACTCCGTTCCATGACTTGTTCAAAAAGCAGATGCCAGAGGAGGAGGCCATGTCTTTTCGGATCTACCAAATCGATCTACATAGGACATAGAGACATAGAAGTTGCTATGCATTTCTCACAAGTACTGACTAGTCAAACTTGTGACCAGTGAACTCTTGTGATTGTTGACTGCTGGCTTCCAGTGAACGATTGTTTTCTGTTTGGTTGACTGCTGTAGTCACTGTAGTCTGAGTTGCACTGAAGTCTTTCGTGTTGGGTGATATCTGATACCACTGTATGGACGTGTGCTATTGTTGGCATTAATGTCATTAATGGTTTTCCTGCCATCCCCCCCTCTCCCCTCTCCCCCGCCCGTTGTGGACCTCGGGCTGTCTGGCTTGATGGCGGGGGAAGATTCCGAAAAATCTAGGGGTCAGGAGGCCCCATTGCTAGGGCCAGCGCCACGCGGGCCGCCAGGTGGGACCCATCCCCCCCACACCCCCCTCCCCCCAACCCAGCCCACCCCCAACCACCCCCCACCGTCTCCCTCCTGGCCCAGCCCAGTCCGTGCCCACCCCCCCATGCAGGGCCCAGGCCGAGGCCCCAGGGCCCAGGCCCCAGGCTGGGGGCCGGGGCCGCGGCCGGGGGCCGGGTCGCGGGCCGGGCGACCGAAAAAAGGAAGGTGCGGGGTGGGGTGCGGGGGGGTGGGGTGGGGGGAGGGGGGGGGGGCAGGGAGGGAGCAGCCCCAGCCAAAACCATAAATTTTCCATAAATGAAAGGGCAGAGCTCTTTTGCGTCATAAAAAAACCATAAAATTTCCATATTTGGATTTGGGAGCTGATTTTCGTGTGTCCCTATTAAATTTATTATAAATATATGAAAAAAATTTATGGATTTTTTATGATTTTACTATGATTTCACTATGGTTTCACTATGAAAAATTTATGGCCGCACCACCCCACCCCACCCCCGCCACCCCACCCACCCCCTGTGCCGATACACCCCCAAGGGATACTCCTTGTGAGGAGGTGTATGACCAGTTATTCCCTAAGGATCAAAGGGCAGCGCCCTGCACACGGACAGTAGTTGTTTTGTCTTGCTACGCAAGGAGAGCTTGTCTTGTCTCAATATGGTAAAACCACTGTGAGCCAATGGGCAGCGGAATGTATATGTATGAGCATGCAGCCATTGCTGTAGGTACCTGTTAGAGCTACCCCTTTAGAGGTTTATGGTTTCAAACAGACACTAATTTTCTTTTACCGGAAGCATGGCCGCACATTCACACATATACTATTATGCCCACTGTCACAGTTGCGGAGTTTGGACTCATGATAAAAACAGCATATTGTTTATGCTATGTATAGCACTGAAGTACACTGTTGAGGTCACTCCTTTTGCACACACTCATGCATGTTGGTCAGAGAGATCATCTGTACAGGATCAGGTCTGGTAATGTTCTTCTACCGAATTATGCAGCCCTTCATTGTGCTCTTGTTAGAGCCTTGTGATTCACTGTTGTGAAACTCTGAGAATTTTCTTATCTCAGATTCGGATCCAGGGTTGGATCATAGGCTCGAGCATAGACGTTCGGATGTGGCTCATCCGGGTCTGAGTGGTCTTCTTCGGAACTTGAAAAGATTCCGAGTAATCTGTTCTCAGCCCTGGTGAAGGCGGCGTCTGCAGTATCATATCCATGGTTGGATGTTGTCGCCTTTGGCTCGGCCTTTGGAGCAGCTTGTGAGCTGACTGGAGTTGCCTTGGCTTTTGCCGGTTGTGGCTGCTTAGCCTTTGCCCGTTCAGCCCTTCTTCTTTCAAGCTGTCCGTCTGAGGACGCCCATGATCTTTCACTTTCATCTCCTGAAGGAGATAAGGCGTGGGCATAAAGGCTATTCCAGTACTGTGCTGCAGAAGGAGTTAGGACTTCTTCATTGTCAGATTCTGACTGGTCTTCCTCAGAGCTTTGGTCGTCAAAAAGTGTCTCGAGGACATTTTTGAGATTGTTATTTCTTCGCTCTATCTCTAGTGAGGAATGGACCAATTGGTTAAAGACTGTCCTTGAGTCCTTCAGTGCTGTTAGAAGGATTTCCACTCTGGATAGAGTATCTTGGATGGTGTCAAGATGTTCCTTCCTTTCCTCCTTGTCTCTCTGGATAGAGCTTCGCAATGATTGTGCGATTCTGAGGAGGTCTGTGTATTTCGCAAGAGGCATAGTTACCGTTTGATTGTCATGTATGACAGTTGTTTCGTCGCCGCTTAAGTTCCTGAATAGGACTTCCACGACTGGTAGGAACTCCGTGCTCCACGGTTCCTCTTCATCATATGTTTCTACGTGCTGTAGCACGCGTTGTGTAAACTGGCCGGCTGCTTCTACCGTTGCATCGATAGAGCTGACGTGTCTTGCTGCCATGTTTCGGCACGTAACGTTAATTGCCTGGCCTTGATTGGCTTCGTTAAGTGCAGCGTCTGCATAGGTGCAGAGTCCACTGTTGTGGGCTTCTCTAGCTGCCTTTCGTTGAATGCGCCGATTTTGACCTCCTCTTCTGGTAGGACCTTTTGGTCTTGGAGGATCAGAAGGTACTGTTCCTTTCGCCTTTGGCGGAGGACTCTTAGGTGGAGGTGATATGTTTGCCTTGTTAGGCCCTGGTGGCATTGCCTTGGGCGCTGATGACGATGCGGCACTTGAGAGTGCAGATGTACCTCTGGCCTTTGCCGAGGATCCCTTGGGGATCGATGTATAGGTAATCTGCATGGCTTCTTCGGCCATTTGTGCATGCAAGGCATCCTTGAATAATTGTGTCATGTGAGGAGTGTTACTTGCATCATCGTAGGTCTGGAAGCGCTCAATGTCTCTTTCGGTGCCACGTGGTCGTGTATCACCTCTTTGGAAAGGATCGTTCCTGCGAATCTCCGCAACTTGTACTGCATGGAGGCAGTTTTTGCACAGCACCTTCTTGCAAACATCTCTTGCTTGCTTGAGCTGGTAACAGCTGTCTGAGAGATGGTAGACTTCGCTTCGAGAAGTATGCCAGATAGGTCGCAGATCAGTTGTTTCTCCGGAATTGACCCTGTTGGGTCCTAAAGGTTCACGCGTCTGCGGTTCATCCTCGGGTTCGAGGAATGGAACTCTTTGGTTCGCTGCTGCTTTTGATTTTGGTTGTTGGCGCTCCATACATCTGATAGGAGGCCTGGTAATCTGCTTCCACATCCAGTGTAAGCCCATTAGCAGCAGAACACATTCCACGCGATGCTGAAGACGGAGAAGTCCTGCTCACTGGTTAGTGAGTTTGGAAGTGAAGTTTCATCAGTCTTGATAGACTCTGCGTTTGCTCCACCTCGGTTGCGGTGTCCGAACCAGCCCGACAATCCCGCTGCTGTAGCAGCTGTTCTGAGTGCCTTGCCGCTCGGAGCAGACGGTGGACGCGATGCCTTCCTTCTTCTTCTCCGGCTGGAGGATTCGTCCTCTTGTTCCTCTTCATCTCTCTGAGCAGACATCAAGTTTGATGTTTCTCTTTCGTGTTCTTCGATGTCACTTTTTGTTGGTGACGGTTCTTCTTCTAGTCCATCCAGCTCTTCCAAAGACATGTTGAGCTTGTCAACAATATTGGTTCTTTGAGGCCTGGACCTTGATCTTGGTAGATCTTGTTGTGAAGAGGACGATGATTCCTGGTTCCTTCTTGGAGGAGGACCTTCAGGCTCGCTGGGACGTTCAGGCTGTGGCCACTCCCAGAATCTTCCATATCTGTGATGGCTACCTGATGGTTGCGATTTGTCGTACCAGCTGTTGCCGGATGAGTAAACGAATGAATCGTTGTAACCCCAGTATTCAGCATTACGCTGCTTGTAAGCCTTTCGCTTGTCAGCGATCTTTTGGATCTGGGCATCGGACCGGTTGTGTTTCCCTTTTGTAAGGATTGGTTGTATCGTGAAGCCCAAAGGGCTGTGCCAATCTTTGTCAGAGGGACTCAACCATAGGTTAAGGTTAGAAAAAGTTGAATAGTACTGCTTGACTGAGACAAACTGCGAACGGACTGCGATGCCTTGTCATGTTCTAAGGTGTCACTATAAGAGCTGTGAGCAAGACCGTGTAAAGTGCAAGAGAA